ACAATACATTCGATAGAGAGCGTCACGCGGAATCCTAAGCAATACACCATTCTCAAGGCTCTCGTATTTGTCACACACCTTGTGACTTTCTTTTCTAGTAATGAGACTGTGACTGAAAAGACTAATAATGCATCGGAATACTTTTGAATGACATCAGAATGTCTATATGCAGTGAGTTCTGCTGTTCAGATTTCTTTTCATTTATACACGGCTTCAACTAAAACCCTCATCTCTTATGGCTAGTACATTCGCTTTTGCATGCTAAATTGAGTGTATAACGTTCAGTTAAGTTATGAACTATTCCGCGTTCAACTTTGAATCTGTAATCCGTAGGAGTATTATCTCACTCATTCACGAATCTCTCCTTATTGCTGAAGTTGATGAAATAGTTCATAGAGTCTATGCCTAAAAAAAGCAGCTATTGAGATCATTTATAACATGAGACTGCTTCAATCTTCATATATATTTAGCGACGATGTCGGATACGCGTCACAATGGTATATTCGTCATACGGGTACTAATTTGTCGTGGAACAGAGGTAATACTCATCTACACTATCGTATCAACTACATTCTATTCATCGGTAACATCTTTTACGGCTGTCGATACGAACTATATCAGACAGCTTCCTACAACAGGAATACGCCTGCCAGTTAGCTCACCAAACACAAATAATCACGTACATGATTTTTGTATTCTAGTTTTGGGCACAGTAAATCGTGAGTAGCTACGTATCAGTTTTCATATGTGGTGCAGCTAAAATAATGAACACCAAATCCTTCAAAATTTGATTTTTCATAGAAGATATCGTAGTCACTTTTAACTCTGATACTCTCAATCTCAAAGACCATACTTACAAATGTTTCAACATTATCGAGAGCCAATTAGAAAAACGCGTCGTGTGAGGCATGGACATTTAAGATATCCCAGAAAGGATAGTTTTTCGACATCAACAAATACACATCCATGATGAATACTATTTCTTTCGGTACCCGAACTTTGACGAAAGCATATAACATGTAATTGTGAGTTCATTTTTGGCATAATCCATACTATTTGCTGTACTACAGTTTCTGACGATGAGACCCCAATGATGAGTCTACTACTTTACTTTTAACAATCTCATAAGTAATCATGGAAAAGAAAATTTAGGATCCAGCCATGAATCAAAAAAAGGACGATTGAAATTGCAGTCCAATGCTTTATCAGCAAGATACTACAGAAGAATATTTCATTATACACTCTATTTTTTGTGGATATACTTTTGAGTATCTTATCTGCAAAATTATTTGCATCCCTTATCATATGAAGCGTTCTTATCATTTCTACTTGCTCTTCTGACACCCACATTTAACAAGTGTTTCACATTCTTTTTAAACGAAGTTGATTTCACTACTACTCATTTCACGACAAACACGGATCGTAAAAATCTGATGTTCTCAATGTCAACCACATGAAAAGAGTGCAGTGCATGATGGCATTTTGCTTCGTCGCTTAATGGCTGAAGGATTCCGCTAGATTTCAAATGTTACCGAGTTCGATTCTGCTCATTGTGGTACGCATTTTGTTTCTCGCATTAATTTAAATTGACTTGAACGACATCATTTATCAACGATTTTTACTAGAATCTATTTGGAACAGAAGATATCGCCAAAAGTAAAGTAGCCCAAATTCTATGGATTCTGGAATCGAACCACTCCATTGTCCATTGAATTGAGTCTACTAGGAAAGCTTTCCTCGTCTATAATATCGAATCTATGTTAAACGGGTTGCCTTCTTTCCATATCTACCGTTCTTTTGTCTTTAAGGGCGCTATCTGACTTTTGTCAGTCATTCTTTCTTCTTGTTAGAGTGTGTGAGCGGGATATGGGTCTTCCTTTCAATCACACTAGTACATCCATACTCAACTTGACTGCGCATGTTTATTTTGTTTGCACCTTGATTTTAACACTTTTCGTTTGTCTCATTTTCTAACCGTTACTGTTCCTATGTTCTTTCTGTCCTTGGGAGCGGACTTAATTTACTGTCACATCCCTTGGCTAACTGGGAAAAGGTCTCTCTCTTATCGTTGACTTGCAGCTAAGCAGGTTAGCAAGAAGAATAGTGCTACTATAATGAATAAATCATTAGTCATCCTTTATCTATCGTCGCCTTTCTTCGTTGATGACTTTTCTTGTTTTGTTTATAAGTGATCCGACGCTCTCTCTATCATGTTTTACTATAACGGCGTCGTCTCTTGTTCGTTCATATGCTATTCCTTAGTCACTGAATAATGATTGATCTCTCTAATGGCCTGAAGATCAGTGGATCAGTGAGGGACACATTAGGTGTTTTTATTTTTCAGATGTTGTTTTAGTCCTGGGAAAAATTTCATGCATCATCCTTTTCTCTCAGACGGATTCTCCTCCAAATATTCTTCGCTACCACAAACTTTTCCTTTCATATCAGTTGGTCTCGCTCACATTAATCATTAAACACAATCAATTTTAGGAGTGCAATAACGTGGGGATATGAACATGCAGCACTAATAAATTGTTTTTAAACGAAATCGAATATAATTCCTGCATGTTCATCTCATTCCTTTGTCAAGTTCCCATTGGAAAATAATCGATTATAATCAACTATTGTCTTATTTCTTTTTAATATGGGTAGTGATTGTTCAATCAAAGCTGTGGACATTTCATCAATGCAAAACCAGACGTCAACATCGCTGTAAAACTAACATAGTCATTTTTTACTCGTTCAAAATGTCTATCTATCAAACATGATTAAGAAACTTCATATTTATTCAGGAAAACACCATCATATTTCTTCTCGTTCCAGTTGTTTAATTCTGGTATTTTAAACTGTATTTGTTACGTGTTTTCACGAAAGGAAATAACTTTATTCAGTTCCAGCTGCTATTTTTGATTAACAACGTCTACATGAGAGTCACTGAGACCTATCAATATCAAAAACACTGGGTTTCAGGCATTTTTGAATGTAATGCATGAAAACCAGGAGTTTTTGGTTTTTCTTTATATTTCACACAAACCTTGAATTACTAGTCTCTTGCCGAGAAGAAATTGACGATTTTCATCATTTGAACGAGAATATTAGTCGATGGCCATTTACTTTAGAAGACAAGAGTTAACGAGTTGTTATTTAGAAAACGTTTTGATATCATTTCGTTTGTTATTGATTTTCAATGAGGAATCCTTTGGAAAAATTTTCAAATCTGAATAATATGGATTCATCGAGATATGAGCGAAATATTGAAGCCACTTTCTATGTGGGAACATCGATTATTCTGTATTTATGAACAACGATGTTCAACGTTTTTCTTTTTATATGCCAATATTCATAAGCTTCATTTATTAGACTGAGAAAATCACAGTGAAATGTTTTTGTTCAGGTTACTGGATCTCTAAGCTCTCTCTTTTCCTTTAATCGCATTTTGTACAAACGAATTTGTGCCACCACACTTCTACATATTTTTTTGTTTTTGACGTATTCATTGTCTCTTTGGATGATTTGTTTTTTCAGATTTTCCGCTTTGTCAATATTTTCACTAGTATCAATCAAAAACAATATCAATCATGGGCAATAAAGGTGCCAAGAAAGGACCAGTGAACGAACTCACTCCTAAACGTTAGTTCATTATGTGTTTCTCTAATATTTCCATATTGATTTTCTATTTTAGAAATTGCAATGCTTAGAGCGACTACCCAATACTCAGAGAAGGGTAGAAAAAAACACACGACTGACGTGATTTAGCTTTTCTGTTTCTTTTTAGAAATTCGAGAGTGGCACGCCGTAATTAATTGCATATATAATTGTGTTCGTGAAATTAATTTCGTTTTTTAGAGTTTTCTCCGAGAATCTCCAAAGGGCAAACTCAACAAAAACCAATTTGTTGGTGCATACAAAAAATTTTATTCAGGCGGCAAGGCAGATACTTACTGCAAGTAAGTCAACAGATTTTTTCTAATTATTGTATCTTGTCTTATTCTCTCACTTAAGGCTTGCATTTTCCATGTTTGATGCTAATCACGACGGAGCGATTGATTTCAACGAATTCCTCCTTGCTGTTGCTGCTACTTCTCAAGGTGATTTGGATGATCGACTCGAAGTTGCGTTCGATATGTGAGTTCGGTCGAGTTAGGTTCTACATGCTTTTCTCTCGTTCAGATGCGATACTTCAGATGACGGACAAATTGATCGAAAAGAATTGGCCGCGATGATTTCTGCTGCGGTATGATATCAATATTTCTGCTTTTGTTCCTGTTTTTCATGAAGTAATATATGTTTATTTTAAGTATGATCTATTGGGCGAAGCTGATCGAAAAGGAGATCATGATCCTAAGAAGCGTGCTGTAGAAATCATTAGTAGACTCGATGTTGGTGGAGATAAAAAACTGAACAAATATGAGTTCATAGCTGGGTATGTATATGGAAACGTACTCAAACATCAACTGACCATGTTATTCTTTTAGATGCAAAAACGATCCAGTCCTCCGTCGTTTGCTGGCACCCAACGTTTGAGAGTTTTTTTTTATTATCGACGGACCTGTTTCTTTTTATTCTTGCTCTTTTCGCGTAACACAAGCAGAACTTTACTTGAATTTCATCAGTATATTCTTTTTTTTTAATAATTGATGACATGCACTACACAATATTGTTGAATCGCGAATAGGCTTTTTCTAAATGCTGAACTGTTTACTGAAAAGATTCAGAATTAATTGAGTATGGCCATGACATGGTGAAAATAGTTATGCTCTACTAAAAATGGTGCTAGAATTTTCAGGTAAGTGTAACAAAATATCTTTGGAGTTTTCGTTAGCTTTGAAAAAGAAAAATTTCGTCTCTGCTTCGATTTTTTGGTCCTGTTCATTGCTTGATGATTTTCTGCTTCACTTTTCGATCGGTTATTTGGGGAAACGTCTTACATGATAGAAAATGAGTCATTGAACAAAATTGAACTCTTGAATGTTTCAGAGACAGACGTTATGAGAAGTGTGATGATGACCATAAGGAATGATGATGGATGCAACTTTTGAAACTGTTTCATTGACTATAATTCTTACATCTTATTCGACAATACGTATGATGTCGTTTTATTATGACAATATTTTGGTCTGTACATAATGCTGAATGCTAAATATTATCTTATAATAATTTTTTTGGTTTAGCGTAAGCCTGACAACTATTTTAATTATTTCTTCCATGTTGCATGCATATATGTACTAGGTGACTTATTCTTTGTTTTATAATTTCCTTTCTTTGTTAATATACGAACAATGGACAATAAATAGTATTTTATATTGAAAAGCCGAGTGATAAAGATAGTAAAATTGTTTTTCAAATATTTTTTTCAGATGAACCGACACAAATTCTAGATCCTAACTTCTTAATCTGCAGAATTGGGAGCACTATATTTGAGTTTAAAATAATCAATATGAGCTAGACTGATTTGTGAAACACAATTTCTACAACTAGGCTGCTACGTCGTTAGTGTTGCTTAAGAGCATTGAACTGCACTTTTATAATCGTCCTTATTCATCAAATAAATTTCGTGTCCCTTTGTTTCATTACTCCACGAATTATCTTTCTCTAACAAAACCCCATAAATACTACATCTTCAATCATGTTTTCAATCTTGAAGAGAAGAAATGAGCTTCATGGACATCCATCGGTACTTTTATGGAACTTCAACAAGAAGTGGATTCCATCACGCAAATGAAGGCTTTCTGCACTTGCTCACGCATTTTCTTAAAGAATAGCAAGGCAATTATATCGTGCTATAGTAATCAAGCCTTCAGAAGAGTGGCCTACTGAAATAATATTGAATGCGCAACGAATCGATTTACTATTTCTCCCCCAGATCAATCGTCTCCGGCAGTAAGCGGCTGTATATCGATCCATTGCGATGTAAAACGATAATCACTTGCGATGAACATTTGCAGTACTCACGTATGAAGCTTTACAGTGTATTAGGATTATCGTATGTATCTGTAAAGAGTTGTTCATGGTGGTGACTTACTCTCATTGAGGATGATGATGGGACCTTGATTTCGACTTCAGGGTGGCTGAGCTTCCTAGCACTTTTTTCAATGAAAGCTTGAGTCTGGTACTACTCTTTGCTTTGTGAAGTTGTAATTCACTCACACATTCTTTGGATTTTTTATGAATAGATTAACAAATGACAAACCTTAATTCAAATTTTTGTTAGACATGTTTTCCGCTCATATCAAGTTTATTCTAGGATATTTTTTGTATTAGGTATGACAAATGACGAGAACAGTAATAAAATGTTGCATCTCGTTCTATGCAGTGTTCCAGTCGAGGAGAATTAGTATAACGTTTGAGCTGAAATACTCTATTAACTTCATCTTCTGAATAAACTGATGCGTGAGACTGTGTAGATGGTTCCTATCTTGCTTGACTCACGCTATCAGAACATAATTTTGTTGAAGATCTTACTAGGGAAATTTTCTTACTTGAACTTAAATCTGTGCGCCGAACTACACGTACATAAACTAATCTGTAGTCAGATATTAATAAAGAGTTCAAGTTGTTTAATGCGATGGAAAAAATATCTAACAGTAAATATGATGGAAATCACTGATTTAAGATCATGTTTGCGCTACTATCTTCTTCACTCAATACCTTGCTAGGTACGATAAATTGCCAAACAAGTCGTTTCATTTATTTGAACTCTCTTCACTCATACGGTTTTAAATTCTTTTCTAAATAAATAGTGTTTTTTTTTAATTAACACGCGATGTTTTATAAGATTTAAGTTTTTTTCTTTCGTTATTAACACACTTATATTAGTCTATTGCAGATAACCAAAAGAATTGAAATACTAAACCCTAATCTCTGTTAAAAAATAACATTGTACAAAGATAACAGAATCACTCACAAAATTTGACTAAAGAAAATGTCAAAAAACTAATATTGAATCACCTTAATTAGACTTTTTGTAACCTAAATATACAGCACATTGAGGACAATAATTCATTACTAAACGTCTTAAGGAAGCCACTTTAAGGATAGGTTTTTGTAAAGCAGACCATTCAAAAGATATTTAATTATAGTTAATCTAAACGAATAATAGAAAAATATTATTATGAAATGAAATACAACATATAACACATGAATATAAACTAATAAAAAAATTACGTGTTCATGGCGAACTATATATGTTGTTATGTAACAATACTTGTTCATCTACGAGATAGATGGCAATCTTAAAAACGGCCAAGCACGATATTTTTATAGCATTAAGCAGACTTGAAAGAGTTGTACGCAAAGTACTGACTAGAGTGATTCAAAATGATGGCTTTGTCAAAGCGATCAGACGTTTATAACAGTACATACGGAGAGTCATTGATGAAAAAAGTTTTCGAAACCACTCACAAGATTACATTAAAACACCTGATACAGATGAGTGTTACATTAAGCAGAAACATGAATCTAAGTAGCCTGAATACGATTGATCAAATTACCATCAAATATTCAAGAAACATCACATGTGAAATTATTGCGATCTTAAAGGTCTTCGTACCATAATTACTCGATACGATATACATTATGAACGAGCTCTTCACTTCCCGACAGTATCTACTCAGTTTACCTGACCTTTAGCAAAAAATTCAGTTCATTTTCATGTTGATATAAGTCAGAGTAAATTGCAATACAAATCATTCAAAAACTATCAAGTATCCACAGACAATAGTATCTATCTAATTAAGCAGCTAGGATGTTTAACAGGTCAATATAGCAGGCAAACAACATTTACACTTCCCTTGATATATATGTGCCCGTAAAAGCTGTGCCAGGTGTCACTTTAAATTCATTTTTCAAAAATATTATCAGTAACTTTATTCCAGCTTACTGAAATCTCGCAACATTAGCGCTATACATGTTCAATATGCATTGATGAGAGACACTCCTGATACATTCTATTCCCCAATCTTCACGGTACGATTACCAGGCACACCTTTTTCATAGAAACGTATGAATTTTTATCAAATAAGCCACTGGAAAGCCTTAAGCAGCACCTTTGTATAAGGTGATCTTCACCCATAAAATACAGTTTTGTCAACAAGATCTTTTCTCGATATATATCATTCCTGTTTCATTGTGCATCAGGTAGGATATCGTTTTAGTGGCTTTTCTATTGGGTATAACTTTGTTCCAGTGTGCTTCTGTCTAGTCTCTCACGTTCATAGTTGGATACGGTGCATTACGTAGACATATCGGCTTTCACGTTAGGGGATACTACTCTACCGGCTAGAATACGATCATGTTATGGTACGCATGTCACTATCAACATTGCAGGTATTTCACCATATATGATATGGTGTCGTATAACTGTAATACTATTCCTACTACATGGATGAATTAGGGCCCATCATTGGTCGTAACCGTAGTAACCATGCACTTGAGCTTTGATGTATGAAGAAAGAATGAAGAACTGTTAACAGATTACTCGAAAGATGATGTGAGTCAACGTGAAGAGAAGCTTCACACTTATGTACACTTCTACTCTTTGTAGTTAGAAACTTCTTTTTATCGAATTAAATCTTCAGATTAAAGCAGTTATCTATGACTCTGATATAAATGTAAAACTAAATGAAAAGTTTAACTAAGCTCTGGCGGTCATGAGTTACACGCATTGAATGACAAGAATTATTTGCCAAAGAATTTTCAAGAATTCTATTGATTCTTGACATTTTTTTCCACGCTACCTTAAACGATCGGTTGACAAACTTGTTGACCATTACGAGTCACTCAAATCATACCTTCAATTCAAAGTAGCATAGAATGATGCAAATATTAATAAGAAGCAGTTGTTTTCAGAAAAATAATATAGTGATCTGTCAGTGTATATATTTTAGAAAATATTGATCAAAAGATAAAGTGGCTTTTTCTCTTGACACGATTTCAATCGTTTCCATCGTCGACTAAGACTACTCTATAAGCAGGCGTGATGAAGTCGTCGAAAAGAGCGAGAGGAAAATGATGCAGAAGAAAAGAGAGAATTACAAAGAAAAATTAATAATAGTAATACACATATACAATATATATATTGGTCAATAGGCACACAGGTATCACACGAAAATCACGATCATTCGCGTAAATAAGTAAGATGCAAAATTACAAAAGTATCTAACGTTATTACGTCGAGTAGATACATAAGAAAAGATGTACGAACTAACTTTCAATATTAGTTAGTGGCTCTCCCAGATATTATTCCTAGAGTTCAGAATAATGCAAGTACCGTCTCAGTTATTTTCAAACAGTTACAACAGAGCATATGGACTTTGTTGATGTTGCTGAATTTTTCAAATCTGCTACTATTTTTCTTATTAAGTATACATATGAACTAATCATTAATGTACTTGCAGATTAGTGTGGTTAAACAGTAGCAGAGCAATTCGGTACAATATATGCCAGACATGTTCAAATACAGAATGAGAAATGTAAGCTGAATAGATTTACTATCTGGTTGCCTCATATATATACATGAAACTTGAAAATCTAGCGAGAAGCAACATGATCGATGTAATGTTCTCAGTGAAATTCTGCTTTCAATATCAACTCTTGAGTCCGATAATGAACTGCAAGTGGTTGAAAAGTCGTATCACGTCCAATCCACGGTATTTTATTTAATAAATAGGATTCGGCGTCATGCTTTGCATTGACTCATGTCATCAATTATCTTGTCCATTACAGCATCTTGGAGATATTATTGGAAATAGAGTCATTTTCTAATTAAACAAAATGATATCTGCTCATTAAGAATTAGTTGCTGAGACAACATATGTACTCATGTGTGCACAAAGTTCACGGCTGTGCGATAAAAACCTAAGTTGAACAAAGATGGAGTGTAGAGCGTGGGTGTGAAAGTGTTGGTATGAGTGTCGATTTTCTCTTTATTGATATCCAGATCTGTATTCAAAACCAACCCATACACTAATACCCACACCCATGAACGACTACACATGATATTAAGGAAGAGACACAGAATCAGTGAAGCAATAGCTGATAACAGATCAAACGAATGAACATATGTGTACTGCAGACACCATTTTCTTCTATCGCATTCTTTCGATGTTTCCCTTCTTTTCGTTCTTTTTTCAATATTTTCTCTGCTGTTGTTTTACTACTTTTCTTTCGATTTTTTGACTATTCGACATTTTTCATCAACTTGAATTAAACAATATCATTTATTCCTTTGCAGGCGTTTTTCTCCTTCGCTTGTTCTGAAAGTAAATTCTCATTCAACCAAATATAAAACATTTTCATCAGGTTGTGCTTACAATTATGGTAAGGGTCTATCAATACTTTTCAAAGCTTGCCGTTTTGTATTCGATATGTGTATTCAAATCATCCGAAAGAGAACTGTCAACAGTAAAACTTGATGATTGAGAGCACTATCGTGTACATGAGAAAAAAAGATGAAAGTGCAAATGTTCTTTTTGCATTCACGACAGTTTCGAGGTGTGCATTGATCAAACGAAAAAATCAGCAGCAGAGAAAAAAAATCTGTAATAGAAAAACACCAGCATCCATGTACCTTTTGCATAGTAGTTGCTCGTTGGCAAGTTGAGACACCCAATTGTACCATTTATTGTTGATCGATGTACATAAAACCTATGAGTGAGAATAAATGTATTCATAGTTAAACTTGAAGACAAAATGAAGTTGTTAAAGCTTATTTCGTCGTATATAAACGAATACAATTACCGTACGACAGATAGTGTCTTCATCATTTTGTCGCAATTTAGACTAGAAACTAAGCTACTCTTTTCTTTATTCTTTCTTAGATACATTCTTAGTGTCAAAAGTCGAAAGCAACACCATGAATATTCCAATAGATTCATATCCAAACGTTCAAGTAAAATTGGCTAGATCTACTTTGGATTCATGTGAAGTTACAGAAGTAGACAGCGAATTGTACAATCTGAATCTTCGAATTGTTTCCGTTTTTGTTCTACTCGTCATCTCTTTTCTTGGTGCTTCAATCGCCATACTTCCGACCTGTTTCAAACGCTTACATATGCCATCAATAGTTATTAATACGGGAAAATTCTTCGGCACCGGGTATACATTCGAACTGTTCGAAAAAAAGCATTCGCTCAATTTTTTTCTTGTTCTTTTCTAGAGTGATACTTGCTACCGCATTCATTCATATCTTGCCTGCAGCTATGAACACATTGACAGATGAATGTCTGCCACAAGGTTGGAAAGATTATGAAGCTTATGCAGGTTTATTTGCCATGCTGGCTATACTGGCCATGCAACTCATCGAATTCATTGCACATCATCAATTACACAGGGTACCAATACACGAGACAAAAGTCGTAGTTGAAGAGGCTCAGATACAATCTACTGTAATATCTGTTGAAAGCAGTGAACAACATGGTCATAGTCATGGTTTATCATTACTACAAGATACTCATAATCATCGTGTCACTACGTATTTACTTGAGTTCGGTGTTGCTACACATTCGATTCTCATTGGTGTGGCATTGGGTACTGATGATGGTTCACATTTTGTAGCACTTTTTATTGCACTATGTTTTCATCAATTCTTTGAAGCTATTGCACTTGGTGCACAAATTTCACAACTTCAAAATAAATCAATATTACCAGCTATTTTCATGGTGATATTGTTCTCTCTCACTACTCCGGTTGGTATTGCGATTGGTATTGGCGTTCATTTGAATACATACAATCCAAGATCAGAAGCTTCACTAGTGTCGACTGGTATCCTAGATTCGGTGTCAGGCGGTATTTTGATCTATGTCTCTTTGGTCAATTTGATGGCTGGTGAAATGGGTATCACAGCACATGGATTTTTTCAATTGAAAAAGCGTGTGAAATTTTTATATTTTTTTGCTCTGTATCTTGGTGCAGCATTGATGGCTGTTCTTGGACGATGGGCATAAAAGAAAAATTTTCAAAATTTTCGTCTAGGAATTTGTAGTATCATTTTACTCTTTAAATAAATAGCTCTGAGAGCATAAATTAGATCTATAGCACAGAACACACGGCTACCAAAATGATTATTATTTTACTCTTGAGAAGTATCTAAAGCTATGATTACCGTTCTTTTACTTTGTTGTTCATGCCGTTAGTGAGTTTAGGTTATGATTCAACATAACAAGCTCCATTTTTTTGTGTTCTATACGTAGTGTTGCACACCTCCCCTGTTGAAGGCACCCCCGTTTATGAATGCATTATATTTTAAAGAGCCATGCTCGTTTCTGTTCTGCATACATTAAATGTCTACGTATAAATGAAAAATCATTTATGATTGGCCAATTCAAAGTGTTTATTTGAATCAATCAACAGTATACGATCGTCTTTACAAATTATAAATATGATATAACTTCTAAACTATAGATGATTTTGCAAGATTTTGGTCATGATACTCTTTGTGCTAACGACATGAAAATAACAGAACTATGGCAGATATGAGCAAGTATATGATTTTTTTTAAAATATAGTCAGAAACAAACTATGACAATAAATGTAATAGAAATTCTTCTTTCGAGAATATAAATTAACATCGACCTATCATTTATTCATATTGCTTATGAAAAAAACATTTCTAATCACTCTTGGTTTCTTTTTCTCTTTGAAGAAGCCGAACTTTTTCTTCATACTACCCATTTTAAGTGCTTAACAGCCCGTTATGAAATGTATGAATGAAATAATGTTGACTGTAAAAGAAAATAAATGTCCATGACATATTCAAGTATCAGAAAAACAACAGGCAACCAATAGCAATTGACGTTGATCATATTTATGTAGCTCTATGTGATGAAATAGACTTCTCTTAGTCATTAAAAACATTCTACACAGGGTTTTTTCTTAGAGATCATGCTAATACAATTGATATTAGACATTGGTCTCAAAACAGAAGGCAAAATATTTTCTGTTGAGTTTTTCTTTTCTGCTTATAGCCTGTATCGTGTAGCCAACAATCGAGTGTCTGAAGACCACTTTCAGCTTTGAAGAAAATGATCTTGTTGTCATCATTTCTTACTCAATATAATGTTGCAAAAAGTGCAGTTTTTGTTTTCTCTTTAATTCAATTGCGTACAGCTGACGGAATAAAGGAAATATAAACACATCAAGCCTAGTTATTTTCTTGCGTATGAAGTACAGTGGATGCCATATTAAAAATAAAACAAAAACAGAATAATTGAATGGTATTTTATAATGTAAAAGAGAAACCTATTGACATTCATTTTCATTTCTTCAAAAAATAAATCTAAACAATAAAAGACAATAAAATTAATCTGAATGCTTGTAAAACAGAATTTAAAAACTGAACTAAATGAATTGAATAAAGAAATTAACTAGTAACTGTATTTAAAGACAACAGTACATGCTGCATTTTGAGCAGCATTTAGAAAAGCAGAATGAAAGTAGAATGCGTCTTGTACATAAAATATCTATATTTGCACTTCGTACAGTTTTGTTTTTGATGAATACACGAAGTCAAGAACAATGACACGAACATTTCAAATTTTCAACTACTGCGCATTCGAGTTTACTTTTTGTAATTATTATCCTCTAAAATATTGTCATAACTAAGAGATAGCTGAACTTTCTCAAGCAAAGCTTTGGGTCTAAGATCTTTCCCACCGTCAAATTTCTGGATTGGTCTCGACTATGCAAAGCCGTTGTTTGCAGAAAACTTTTCTTTCCTACTCGGTAAATAATAAGGAAAGACAAAGTAGTTATTAGTTGTCTGCCCACAGTAAATGTCAACGTTACATTAACTAAGAGAATCTAAGACGAAATAAATCATTGTAGCAGTTGATAAATCCGAACAAAAACTTGAATCAAGAAGCAGTTCGTTGCAGCTACTGATCGATCAACTACATCTTCTGTACTGGTAAGAAACACTGTATAATCTCCAGAATCTATCAACTCGATATTAGATTTTCTTCTCAATCATTTCATTTCTTTCCTCGATTAATATTAGCTCTTTCCTAAGAAAGTGATGCTGAGAAATAAATGGAGTTAAGCTAGAATAGATATTCATATTACTCAGAAAATAGCTGATAAAAACCATTATAGAATAGCCGAAAGCTCAGAATGTTAGAGACATTCTAATTGGAGAGTTAGTGTTATCCAATACACGTCTGAAACCAAGTTGAGATTTGTCACATATCTATTTGGTATCAGTATTTTTTTGTTATCGACATAATAAATGACAACAATCTGATGTTAAAGAAGGTTATTAAGTGAGAAAAAAGTGAAATCTTTCGTACTAACACGATCGAATGACTTACCGTAATATTTGTCAATATATTGTTCAGTTGAAAAATATTTGTTTAATATCTTGATCAAGTCAAATTTTTGATTATTGTTTTCTTTACAGAAAATTAAATACTATTTAGATGTATTACTCAAGAGAGAAGATAAAAAGACTTGCGGAGTATAGTCACAATTGAAGAATAAATGCCAAAGTCAAATTTTCACTCCAGTTCGTATTTGACACTTAACCGGGCTGTTGCGTTATCCGTCGCGACAGTTACTGCATGATGCATTGGAACAATCCAAATAACTTTAGAAATCAAACTGCACACTGATTCATTATCGAGTCATTGGTTGGCATGTATATCTATATCTCTGGTAATATGAAAATATGTTTCGTTTTCGACTCTAACAAGATAACAATCATCATTATCATTGTGTGGCCTGCTTGTTAGTTACCACAACACGAGCTGATGCTCCTTTTCAACTCTTATAGAGCTTTGGTTTTGGTGAGAAAATAAAGAGGATTCGATTGCCAAGCTCAATCGTACATTCAAATACGTATGAACATTCCATGAACATATTCAATATGTCAACTTCTGAAAGATGCCAACAATAAAAACAAAGTATGTCTTATTTTGCTCGATGCTTTTGCTAAGATGATTGTGCCAGTAGTTCACGACATGCTACAGATCGTTGGCATCTGAATTCCTTACTAAAAAAGAAGTTACATGCTCGAGGCTAAAGATATTGTTAGTATCAATTTGGTATTCGACTTTAGATTCACACATCACGCGTCCATCATTTTTATCCACATGTGACCGAAGAACAAAGTAATAAATCACTATAATTTCGTCTTTCATCAGTCTAACCATCATCGAAGCATCTTGCTAATACGTATCGACTTCCTAGTTCAGCTGGCGATTGATCTTCGTCTACTGTTTCAGACCTGTTTTCAAATCAACCAACGTCATTACATCTATCCGTGAAGACCAGAACAAATGTATACATCTCGAAAATGGTTTTCAGACGATTGAACACGTCAATCAGATATCCATTGATCAATTTTAGCTTATATTGGATTTGTTCCAATGTCGTATCCACAATAAGCTTTTATTCGAGAACCGCAACAAGGAACAAAACTTATTTACGACGAATCTCCTCGTACTATTTTTCAGAGTCGAATGAAAATTCGTGAATTAAGACAAAAAAGAAAACGATTGATCTTTTCTAAGCCAGCTGTCTGGTGAAACAGGCTAGTATATCAGAAGCATCGAGCACATGAAACAATAAATTTCGCATAGGTAAGAAAAATAACTGTTGCATAGAAATGAACTAACGTCAAGCATTTTAATGAATAGTAACACGTTCTAACTTTATATTGCAGAGACGGTTGGTCGAGGGAGATCATATGTACTATATTTGGTAGTAGAATTTGCCAAGTACGTCTCTGATAAAAGCAATAAACATATCCCTATTCGTAGATCATAAGATTGTTAGTCATGTGAGATCAATGAAAAAGAATGCTTGAAGAACTAGAAGTAGCCATGGCTATATGTTGTCATTGGTGACTAGTTATTGAAGGACCAGCAGAGAGCAGATTTACCGATCATGCAACCTAGAAAATTTAGAAAACAAAATCGTTAAAACTTCTGTTGATTCCGAAGTTTGAAAGTTTTCAAAATTTTGATCTCTATCCTGCTATATGACTGTTTTGATTAAAGAAAATTTTGAATATTTTTATCAAGCCCTTGTTCAACAATTAGCGCTACCTCGTAAACGAGCACTAACTTTCTGCCAAAAAAGCTTGTACTACAATTGTTTTCATAATGATTCCAGTGCATCGTCGAGTTTTTTATTGGATAAATAAATCATTTAGTCTCGATACTGATTGATGACAAGATTTGTCAATTATTGTTTGAGATTGGTTGAAAGTAACATTGAACTATGTTCATAGGATTAAAGAGTTTCGTCTTCATAAAATGGTCCTTCAAACATCATTTGTTCGCAATATTGTAATAAAGACTGAGGCCAACTCTTCTGATATGCAGCTTGTGGATAACAGATGATTGAACAATACTTTTCAGATATTTTTGCGTGAAGAAACATGGAAAAATACTTTGAGGCATTGTAATTACATAGGAAACAAGATGGGTAGTACCTATCGGTACAGGTAGTCTAATTGACGGAAGTAAGTCATCGAGTAACATGTTCCATGAGTATGTTGTCCTGAATACAAAACAAATGTTCAGCTTTGAGTGATGAAGAAAAACTACTACAGACTTCTTACTGAATGCAAAATCGTCAATTATCCGCATTTTGTGGCTGAACGAGGCAGGAAACGATTGAAAATCAAATAATACATCACGCTGACTTGCCATTTTTGGTTTCGATTATTTGTGATAAACGTATTCAGTTACAGTCGATCGATGATGTAACGAAGAGACTCGTCAATAATAAATAATGATACCATGAGACAACAGTAGGCCGAGTACAGAAAACAAAGATGAAACATCAAGATGATCATACATGTTGCTCTTTTTCTCATCTACTTCTTTCAAAATAGATATATATCACACAACCAACAACATCAGTCATCTTGACGCTCTATATGCCTGAGTACCAATCTCGATGTTGAGGAATCACTCACGATCTCATAGACATATACACACTCATATGTTACTGTAAACATCTAAATTAATACCATCAATCCACTCTTGATCGCTCGAGCTGAATTGGGGTTATGATTTATAATAACTCTTCTCCCGGCGAGTAATGTAAAAAAAGATACAATGGTATTTAACTCGATCGACATATCCTTATGTACAATCACTACAACACTTAAACACCTAGATGGAACTCTTCTTCTTGACGTACTGATCTAGATTGTTAAAGTAAAATATGGGCTGGAGTTTTCAAACTTTTTAGCCTTAATGGTGGCAGAAATTCCAGATTGAAATACTTTTAGTCAGTACTGTATTTCTTTACTGAAGTCAATATTAATAGTTTAATTGAAATTGAATGAAGATATTCAATGTTTTTATCGTATGGATCACCCATGGTATGTATACGGTTGAAACAATTCATTTGAATTCCATATTCATCTAGCCATAAATTAATTGGATATTTTTCGTCTTATTCTAGAGTTATGTGAACTTTCATCAACTCATAACATCGATCAGATAACAAAATTGTTTTGATCTGATGAGTGTACTCGACGCTGCTTATCTGAATGTATAAAGAATAATAACAAAAAAAATCGGCGGAAACGTGAATGTTATTTCCTTTTGAAATCGATAAAAAGAAACATTTTATCAAGCGTCAACTGGTAGCACGTAGTGAAATATTTTCCATACATTTCATTACTGTTTTTTTTATTCCGCATTGTCTGCAAAATCTACAGAAGTACCATAATAGAACAAAGAGAAAACAGCCAATGAAGCATATTCATTGTTGTTCATAGCTAATGTTAACCTATTTATGGTCTTGACATTGCATCCATGCCAAGATAGTTCTGCCTTGAAGGTTATTACATAGTTAAGTTCATATGTCCTCGACCATTGATTGGTAAGTTTCAAAATGAAACTCGATACTTTTTTTGATGATTTTTTAAATACCTAGTTTATCAAGATTCTGGAGCTAAGGCATTATCTGAGTGTGTAAGTGAGCGGGGTGTTTGCCAGTGGTGAGTGTGAAGGTCTGGATGTTGCTTATTTTTTATAAGCCAACCTTACATACTCCTACAGCCTCTTTCATCAACGTTAGACTTGGTTGTTCAATATGACTTCGACTATTCAACATGAAATTAACAAGTCCTTATTTTAAGCAAAATGATCAAGTATATTTTGCCTGACATGAAAGGAAATATCTCATCTGATAGAGAATGAGGAAATGGATCTTTCTGTGTGCAAATCACTGATCAATTTTTCAACATTTCGTGATAAAAAACGAACTGTTCAGACCATTCCCGATTAAGTGTGTCGTGCTTCTTCGACTTGGATTTTAACAGTTTTATTGAAGAAATTTTCAACCCACGGATAACGTTTGTTGATGTAAAGAAAATCATTGTTTTCGTGATTGAAGTGAAAAGAGAAATTGATTCATCCGCATTCATCGTTTTCACTACGAAAAAAAGTTAATAACCAAATGTCTCTAGACAGAGAATATTGATGGCATTCACCACGATGAACGTCGCACATGAAATGTAAGCAGCAAGAAATGATTGCTTAATGGATGATCGGTAAGGACGTTGTTTGATAGAAGCAGATCGAAAATAGAGTAACTACTATCGACAACAACAACAAAAAACTGCAAGCGCAACTTGGTTAGATTGTTGATTTGGCTAAATAGGATTTGTCTTTTATTAAAAGGGAGCAAAGACGGTTTAATATCATTTTGTGGGTGACTAAATCCTTTTGTTTATTAATAAGATTGTACTCATCAATATGTCGAGTACGATGGATAATCATCGTTTGAGCACAGCGTTCCTCTGATTAATGCAAGCATGTTTCAAAGTAGCAATCATGTTAGTCAATGTAATGAACAAGTTTTGCAGCTAGTATGATATGCAAACGTGTTTATTGCAGATTTCAACGAATATGTATTCAAAAAAAAATATTCATAATTTAATTTCAATTCGTAATAAACAAGAAAGTCAACTTGTAAAACAATCGAAGAGCATCAACTGAATTTGTTGTATAGTCTCTTCAACTTTGTTTGATCGATTATTATCTAAAGACTTATTTCCATTTGTTAGAACGATGACACCCACATTTCCTTGTTCGTTCACAAGCATGGAATTCGTGGCACCTAGACTTACACCTGTATGACCGATGAATCGGCGGCCATCTTTTATCGTTTGCCAATTCCAAATAAGACCGAACTCTAAAGTTGGTACTGATGAGTCATTGCCAGATGAGTTTTCATTTTCGTATGGATCGACACCGACCACTATTGTTCGCATTTCAATAATGAAGCGAGGATGCAATAGAGGAGATCCATTGCTCATGAACATTCGAAGAAATATGGAGAGTGATCGAGCTGACATTCGCATCATACTAGAAGGATATATGCTAATACTATTGAATGGAACCTCCAGCCAAATTGGAACATCATCCTAAAAAGTTTAAGAACGAGTTTTACTAATCATAGCTAGTTACGTATTCATACCTTCGTCACATTTAATATTGCCGCTAGCAGAGTCCATTGATCAAGATATGAAGCATTAAATACATAATGCTTCGCCAACTGCTGTCGATTATCTAGATCAGACAGACGAAAGCCTGCTTTCTTCACATCGATACCTAACAGTTTCAGTATTTTCTCTCTGACATAATGTTCATATGGCATCTGTGTCACTCGCTCGACAACCAATGCAGCCAAAGACGTGCCTACATTCGAATAAAGTCTGACAGTGCCTGGTTGTCTGGGTAACCAGTTTGATGCATTATGATTCAGATATGTAAAACAAGCATCGGCCAATGACATTTTTGAGAACCCATCATCGCCAAATCCACCAAAAGCCATCTCCATTTCGAGATTGGAACCAATCGATGCTGAATGGGAGAGGAGCTGCCGAAGTGTGATAGGATGACAAGGATATTGTGGATGAGAGATGCGCTGATTTGGTGATGATAAGTATTGATTGATATCTGTATCAAGATCAAGCCGATTTGACTCGACAAGTTGCATGACTGATACAGCAATGAATGTTTTCGAGATTGAAGCAAGAACAAAAATCGACTGAGCTACATCCATCATTTTTACCGGAGAAATAGATTGGTAGCCAAAGGCTTCTTGATAGAGAATATCGGTTGCATTTACTAAGACAATCACTGCACCCGGAATGTGAGCATCGATTAGTGACTTTTCAATGAATGATCGAGATGGACATTCTTGGGCAGAAGCAGATCGAAGTAGAAGGAGTACAGTCGATAATAACAAAAGTGACATGAGTAATTGATGTGTTTTTCTGTAGAGCATTCTTTATTTATTCATGTAGGAGGAGCGTATTGTTGTACGGTTTTATCAAATATTATAAACTTGCTTTTTTCTTAAATAAAATATCAAGAATATGTCACTTCAATATATTATTATTAGATTTCGCGTCAATGGAATTATATGACAAAAAGACATCGTCACTCGATCTGAATACTACGAGCATTGAATTTCTATTGTTTATGGTGAAACTTCTCTCCAAATATTGGATACAAGATTCAATAGAAAATCATACAATCTACATGTCACTTTCTTTAGAATTGAATTTACCGTTCGATGACATGAGTACGAATGTTTTCTAGACGAAGTCTGATTACGGAAAACATCATTATCCTAATTACCTGAAAAAAAGTAACATTTGGTACTAACTTCAAAAATTATTCTCTTGAACGACAATGTGAGGAATCCTGAAAAGCTTATGGGAACATAGGGCACAAAGTTTTATCGTTTTTCTATAAAATACTTTACATCTGCTGTCAGACTTGATGAGCATAAAGTTACACGAATCACTTGAAGCTTGTAAAAATAGAACATTGCCGTGAGAGAACTGAACAGGTAGTAATCTCTTTTATATTGCACCTATAATAACTTCTTTTTAAAAATCAAGTCGCCAATTTTTGTAATTGTGTCTATGGAACTATGGTTTCTTATCTACTATCCTTCTGAAGCTTTCTTAACTGTATAATAAAATATGTTTCTAAAATATTAGTCCAAAAAAGTGATTGGTATATTGATTTATTTTTCATGAGATTACATGAACAAGACAATCATATAGAGCAAAGATACTTACGATTGTCTACAATATTGCTTGCATTCGGTAATCCATGCTCTAAATGGTAAATATATATGCCAAGTTAATCCGAATGTTTTTTTCGACCTACATCCTTTAGATGAAATGAGCTTCATGATTGATAACGAATATATATTTAAATACTAATAAATATTTAATCGTTGATTAACCAATCCACAATACCCTATTTTTCGTTTTCTCTACATCAAATTCGATGCTCTTATCATTCTAAAGAGGCACATAAAAATTAAATTCTTCTTATCCCTCAGATAACGATCGACCTTCATTAAATTTCTTACGCTTTCTGTTACATGCTAGTGACGATATACTTTTGAATACGGATTATATATGGTGTCATGTACTAGAGATAAGCAGTCGGATGACTGCATTAATATGTTGATATCTCTAGTAGGTAACGAGTGAATGACATATTATTTTTAGTGAAGGAGATATCCATAGTAAGTCGCCAGTCCATCGTTGAACTATTCCTAAATCTAATGAATCTTTCAAGATTTTTAGAGTTTCACTCACTATTCATTTCAGTATCAAAGTTTTTTCGAACTTTTATTTTTTTTTCAAAGAGATATAGCTTAAATACTAAAAATGTCTTCCCATACGCGAATTTTTCGTGCCAAATTGCATCAGCACTAAAACAATTAAAAAAATATCATGCTCACATCTGTACGTTTCTAGAACACAACACTTCACAGTAAGATATTGAAAGTAATTTTTAAAAAGTCATCAACAAAAGAGCAACGGAAAAAGGTCATTCCAATCTACTCAAGGGTAATAATCAATAATAGCTGCAATACTCTCTGATTTGTTGGATATATCTGAAAAATTAGAATATGACTGTTGATGAAAAAAGAATGTATGCTTTTCTGGTTATTTTCTCCCCGCTAACTATTTGTCGGTCTAGTTGGTAACATTAGAGAGTTAATCGAGCTGCACCTGGAAAAGTTCCCTCGTTAGCTATAGTTTTGATTTTTTTCTGAGATCATTCGCCA